ATTATCTCGCCGAAGAACTTATTCGCTGTTATCACATAAGATAAAAATCTTTGTGGGAATTATAACAGTTCACTCCATGATTAGATCCCTTACTTCGAAATGGGACTCCGACGGAGAGGATTTCAAATCTTTCAAACGCAAACAGTTTGAAAGACATGAAATTGATAATCTAGCTTGCTTCTCAAAAATAGACCCCAATCAGATCCTAGGCTTTGTCAAAAATCTGGCATGGCTAAAATAACCATCTTCTAGGCTCTCCAACTCCAACTATTTTCTCTTCTCTTCCAATTCTCTCTTCTTGTCCCTTTTCTTTTCAGGTATCAGAGATGATCACAATCGGCAATTGCCTCTGACTGTACGGTTGTTATTAACAACCGTACATCCCTAACCTAAGTGCTAAGTAAACCCCTAAAAATTTGTCAAAATCTTCAACATGACTGCATCTTAGGATTATTACAAAATTATTCTACATCGAATTTCATTATTAGATGCAGAAGAAAAGATTTTTGTAAGCACCATATTTATTTGTAAAAAATCGTGTCCAAATTGGGTATATAAAGCAAAATTTTCTATATTGATCGAATTTTTCAAAAAGACTGTTATTTTTGACGAAAAAAATAAAAGTCCCAAAAAGACTTTTATTTTTGACGGAAAAAATAAAAATCGCAAAAATACTTTTATTTTTGACGGAAAAAATAAAAATCATTTTTAACAGTTAAAAATCAACGTTTATTTTTTCCGTTAAAAAATAATTAATTAAAGTGGATTTTTTTTATTTAGGTCACATAATAACAGTTATTTTTTACCTGATTTGATATAAGTTATAACCGTTACGGTCCCTGCTATTTATATTAACGACATGTTGACGAAAACCTAAAACGATTTCTGTCAACCATTAAAACCCAATTTTCAATATGTTTTATTACTGAAACAAAAATTCAAACATCTTTATTAATAATATCGTCATGTTTATCTGTTAATTTTATTTCAAAATTATATAATCAAATTTGAATACAACATTTTATGATGATTTCACTTTCTTCTCATCCTTTCGTATATAAGTACGATAGTAGAAATTCGAAAACATTGCAATCATAAAGAGATTTTGTATAAATGCCACTCGCATCCAGAACAAGTTAATATTGCATTTAAAGAACAAAAGTGGAAATGAAAAATGAATTCCCAATATGATGAATTGCAGCAATTGAATACTGGTTATTCGTTTCTTCCAAGGTGTTAAATCTATTTTGGGTTTTGTCGAAGCAACCAAATAATATGTGTACATAACAACGTGCACAAGCGTGTTCAGTACACCGGTAAATTGACCATGTGAACCTGGAAATAAGGAAATAATATTTAAAAATATATAAAGTAATAGAAATAATTTGACAAATTGCAACAAAATTAGAAATTCCTATAATGAATATATAATTATATAAATTGAATTTATATACATTTCTTCTGTAAAATCGAACGAGGATTTTTTGTAGAACATTTTGTCCTTTTAACTCGATTCCATGTATGTCCTTTTCATCCTTAATTTATTGAATCGGACTTCGGAATTTTAGCATGATGCGTAATATTCTACAAAAAATGTTGCTCATAAAATTTTAGGTGGGGTCCTTAAAGACAACAAATCGACATTTAAGGGAAACACCCCCCCCCCCCTTTCACAATTTTAATTTTTTAGGTTTTCAATGGGCTGGTAAATCAATACCAATGCTTGCTAAGGTTTGTAACTTTGCACATATATTTTTTAAGTAAAATAATTTACAAACAAATTTTGTAATTGTTTTGTAGAAAGAGTACATGTCTGGCTCTCTGTAGAACTATTATTCACTTCGCTCTAAAATTAACAAAATGCCGGACCTTTGAAAACATATTTTTGGAAAATCGCCGATTTTTGACCAAAAGCCAAGTTTAAAAATAAGGAAGATCTTCACCGATTGGCTTTATCCTAGTTCATACGATAGCTATACATTCACAGAGAAACGTGTAAAAATTTGGAATCGATTGGGTTATTAGTTTTTGAGTTATCGTGCCCGCCATTCGCAAAAGAGAAAAACGCGTTTAAAGTTTGAGAAGCCCTTTAGCCGTCACTTGATGCTGACTCAATAAATCGGCTATATCTTCAAGAGTTCTTGAGATTTTCACATGAAATTTTGTAGGGACATTCTTGAATTAGTGTAGATTCGAATTAAATAAAAAAAAATTGACCCCGAGAATGGGGGGTCCCCTTAAAGGTTTTAATTGTCTGTTCTCATTTTTACCCGTTTCTTGTCACTAAAACCCTATATGTATGAGTTTCAATAAATTCAGTATAAATTCTTCGTACTTCATGTACGAATTTCTTCGGGTACGAATTTCCAAAACCAGGAATTCAGCTCTATCCGTTCACACAAAATCAAATTGTAGCAATTTATTTTTACCGTTTATCATACCGTACAACCGTTTATAAATAAGTATTTTAAAAACTATCCCCAATTGAATAAAAATTATTTATTTTGTATACTCAAAAGTACGAATTTCCAAAACTACCTCAATCCTGCTTTCAATTAGTAATCGTAAGTCCAAATTTGTACCATTCATGTAATTGTCGTACCCATATTACATAACTATCTCAATCCTACACTACGACAGCAATATTAGTTGCAACTTTTAGGATCCAGTTCTACCGAAGTCCAAATTGCACTAAATGTAATACTTTTCGTACCCACGCGTACGAATTTCCAAAATTACCCAGCCCTAACCGTTCCCATATATCAAAATTTTAGTACTTTTCGTACTCATGAGTTCGAAGTTCCAACACTGTCTCGATCCTATACTCTAAGAGTAATTTTATTTTCAATTATAAGTTTTTCTCTATGTCGTTCACTCAAATCTAAATCGTAAGAAATTTAGTACCATTCATATAATTTCGAGATATGCCGACATATCACAATCCTGCACTCCAACTGTAATTTCAAATAATAATTTCAGGATCTCAGCCCTATCTGTTCACACAAAAATAATTGTTAAACTATTTGGTACCATTTAGTACTTTTTGTTTATATAATTAAGAATTTCCTAAACTACCTCAATCCTACACTCCAACAGTAATTTTAATTCCAAAATTCTGGAGTCCAACTATATCCGTTCACTCATAATAAAGTTGTACCAAATATAGTACTATTTAGTACACATAATACCAACAGCAACCACGATTCCAAATTTTACCAAATATATTGCCGTTTAGTACTTTTCGTACACATAAATAAGAACTTCCAATGATGTCTCCATAGCTCAATCTTCAATAGTACTCTTAATTCCAAATTTCAGATTTTCAGCTGTAAATTTAGTACCATTTAGTACTTTTCGTACCCATAAGTACGAAATTCCTAAACTATCACAATCCTAGGCTCCAATAGTCATTTTAAATTCCAATTTGAAGTACTTTTCGAACACATAAGTACGATTGTTTAAAACTACCTCAATCCTGTACTCCAATAGTTGTCCTAATTCCTTTTTTTAGGATTCCGTCTCTATGCGCTGAACTGTAGTTGTTTCATACCATTTTGTATTTTTATACACATAAGTATGAATTTCAGGTCCATTTCCATATATAATACCACTTCCTAACCTATATTCCCTATCAAATCTCAAGATTTTTACTTTATATCTTAATTAATTAGAAAAATTTGGTTTAGTACTTTTAGTACACTTATAGTCAAGTTTCCAAAAACCTTTCTGTACATCTTTCTAGCTTTTCATCAGGTGACCCACATTCCAAATATCAGAAATTGGGAAAAAAAGGGTACGATATTTGGTACATTTTAGATTTTCGTACCCTTCTAGAATAGCTTATCTCACATACACACCTATACTTTCGTCTGTGATTTATGTGGTACAATTATGTCTTGTGCATATATTTGTAACAGGCAAAAGGAAACGAGATAGACACATGATTCCTTTTGATATGCATAGAATCACTTTCTACGATTTATTTTGCACAGATGTTAAATTGTAAACAAAGTACAGGTCCACAATTATGTGTGCCAAGTTTCGAGAAAATCGGTTCAGATTTAGATATAGCTCCCATATATAGCTTCGTCCGATTTAAGGTAAATGATGCACCAAAGTCCCTCTATATCATTCGATTTGCACGAAATTTTGCACAGAGTACTGAATTAGGTCCACAATTATGTGTGCTAAGTTTCTAGAAAATCGGTTCCGATTTAGATATAGCTCCCATATATAATTTCGTCCGATTTAAGGTAAATGGTGTACCAAAGTGCCTATATACCATTCGATTTGCACGAAATTTGGCATAGAGTATTGAATTAGGTCAAGAATGACGCGTGCCAAGTTTCTAGAAAATCGGTTCCGATTTAGATATAGCTCCCATATATAATTTCGTCCGATTTTCCTTTCGATATGAAGGAAATTTGGCATAGGGTACGGAATTGGGTCCAGAATGATGTGTGCTATTTGATATATTTTCGTCCGATTTAATGTGCCCTAAAGAACCATAGATTGGCCGACCCGCACACAATTTTGGACAAAGTACTGAAGTTACAATAACCTTTCGTGTGTTTTCTTGAAATTGGTTCTGATTTACATATAGTTTCTATATGTACTTTCGTCCGATTTTAAGTAAATGGTGTGCTAAAGACCTATAGCTAGGCCGATTGGCAAAACGTACTGAAATTAATATAAATTAATCTCGGGTAAGTTTCCTTGAAATCGGTTCAGATTTAGATATAGCAAAGCTTCCATATATAATTTCGACCTATTCATGTTGATTGAAAAGCAAATAATCAATGGGTGCTTGATTGGTATTACATTTTAAACAGTGAACTTATAGATAAAGATCGCATTTTTATGCTCGTTCAATTTCATGTCAATATTCCTTCGAAAAGACGACATCTCCGCGCATAGGCTTTGGTCCTTTCATCACTGGCTGTGAGTAAATTATGGAATATTCCAATTCCTTGCTGTTATAATACAATACGAGTACTTACCAAACAATTGTGACATATACATATATGTACCAAAGATCATTATCGAATGATGATACAAATGTAGGAATGTTATTTGATTATATTTCTTGCGCACTAGGAAGAATATCTAAAAAAGAAGATATTCATTATTAAAAAAAAAACATTTTTATAAATTAATCAAAAAACTTACTGTATCCAACATATCCAAATATTTCGACACATAATACAATACTGTTGGCAGGACAAGTTTCAGAGTCACGTCTCGTCGGTCTGTAGGATCATATGGTTGACATTTGTAACTATAATCCGATTGTAGAACGGTGTAACGAATGAGGGTACAAAATATCCATGCGTTTAATAAAATCTGTACTACATTGTATAGTTGCATATATCTTTCAACTTTAAATGGTTGTCGATTTTTCATAAACAACGGTCCCAATTTTAAGATTACAAAAAGATATGTCAGTATTGAGAATATCATTGGCCATGGACTACCCAATATCGGATGTGTTGTTATACGTTCATCTGTAAAGAATATACATTTAAATTAAATCCGCATTTTAGTTAGAACTAAACTTCAAAAACAAAAAAAAAAACATTAATGCATTTTATGTCATTAATTTTTGAATTACAGTACTTAACGGGTATACATTTTTGAAATTTTGTATTTTGAATCTCCAGGTTTAAAAAATGGATAATTAATATCTTATTTAGACACTTGCCTAACCGTGAATTTTTAACGACAAACACAATTCCTTTGTAAAGCAGTTTTATCAGTAACATTTTAGTTTATTTTATTTATTTATTTTTGTTGTTAACGTTGTTTTTTCTTGTACAAACAATTTGGAACTACGCTACCAATGAACGTGTAGACTGTGGCCTCTCACACAATTTGCGAATTTTTATTACAACACTTGTAATGCATATTTATAGACTATGCTGGATAAATTAAGGTTTTCGTTCATGTGGAGTATACATACATTTGCATTTAAGTATGTTTACATTGTAATAATAACATATATTTTAATTTACCTACGTCAATGACCACATTAGCACACGATAAGGCAATACTAAAAAAAAATAAATTTATAATAAAAATATGTATTGTCAAAGAAATTGTGAATGGAATTCGAATCCATTATCTTAATATATAAAAGAGCTTAATGTTAAGTGAGTGACATATAAAGCTAGAAACTTGAAATTTTGAGTGTGGGTTGCCATAAGTGTGTAGGCGTGATATAAGGCTGGGTTTTTGGAAATTCGGACTAGAAGGGGACGAATTCGAACTAGAAGTGTACGAGAGCTTAGTGTTAAGTAAGTGACAGATAAAGCTAGAAACTTGAAATTTTGAGTGTGCGTTGCTGTAAGTGTGTAGGCGAGTTACAAGGCAGGGTTTTTGGAAATTCGAACTAGAAGGGTACGAGAAGTACTAAAATGTTTCAAATATGGCACCCTTTGTATTAGGTGAACGGGAAGAGCTAGAATTCTGACATTTGGTGGAATGTCACTGATGGAATGTTAGAAAGATGTGCAAAAGGGTTTTTGGTAATTCGACCTATAAGTGTACGAAAAGTACTAAACTTTACTAATTTTAGTTCTAATTGCATATAAAACACATATAAAACTAGAATCTTGCAATTTTATAAGGAACTAGCAAATGCCCGCAACTTCGTAAGCGAATGTAGGAAATATTTAAATATGTATTAACATATTATTTTATTTTCACAGCGAACTGCATCTGTCAGAAAAAAACAATCCACACCTTAATATCGACCATAAATTAATTTTGAGTACCATTTAGTACCAAATTTCATGATTCGAGCTCTAAAGGTTCACCCAAATCTAAATTTTTCATTTATCATACATTATTTCCATAAGTACCCTCTTCAACCATCAAGAAAGGTCATGCATACCCCGATCCTACACCCCAAAATGATTCAAAATTCAGAATTCCAACTCTATTGGTTCACCCACAATTTAAATTGTACAAAATTTAGTACACAGTGGTACGAATTTCCAAAACTCCCTAAATACCCCAATCCCAAACCCCGACAGTGATTCTAAATCCAAGTTTCAGGATTCCAACTCCATAGGTTCACCCACAATTCAAATTGTACCAAATTTTTTACACAGTAGTACCACTTAAAAAACTTCCTATATACCCCAATCCTACACCCCCACAGTCATCCTAATTCCAAATTTCAGGATTCCAACTTTATCGGTTGACCCAAAATTCAAATTGTACCAAATTTAATAAACAGTATTACGAATTTCCAAAACTTCCTACTTAACCCAAACCTACACTCCCACAGTCATTCTAAATCCAAGTTTCAGGATTCCAACTCTATTGGTTCACCCATAATTTAAATAGTACCAAATTTAGTACACAGTAGTACGAATTTCCATAACTTCGTACATACCTCAATCCTACACCCCCACGGTGATTCTAAATCCAAGTTTCAGGATTATAACTCTATTGGTGCACCCGCAATTCAAATTGTACCATATTTAGTACATAGTTGTACCAATTTCCAAAACTTCCTACATACCCCAATCATACCCCCCACACTGATCCTAAAACCAAGTTTCAGGATTCCACCTCTATCGGTTCACCCACAATTCAAATTGTACAAAATTTAGTAAACAGTATTACGAATTTCCAAAACTTCCTACATAACCCAATCCAACACCCCACAGTTATCCTAAATTTAAGTTTCAGGATTCCAACTCTATCGCTGCACCCACAAATTAAATTGTACCAAATTTAGTACACATTAGTAGAAATTTCTGAAACTTCAATCTTACACCTCCACAGTGATCCTGACTTCAAATTTCATGATTCTAGCTCTATTGGTTCATCTCAAAATTCAAATTGTACCAACTTTAGTACCAATTTAGTAAACTGAATCCTGACCCTAATCCTACTTCCCTAGAATGATGCTAACTCCAAATTTCATTGTTCCAGCCCTATCGGTTTACCCAAATCCAAATTGTACCAATTATAGTACGATTTAGTACTTTTCGTACACATAAGTAAAAAATTTCCAAAACTACGTACATATCCCAATCCTACACTTCGACGGTAATGTTAATTTAAATTTTCAGGATTCCAACTCGATTTGTACCTACAAATCAATTTTTACCAAATATAGTACTTTTCGTACACATGAGTGCAGGCGTTCCAAACACTCCTCACATCGACTTCTCAACCATTCCAAATTTCAAGTTTTTAGCTCTATCCATTCACATGCTACGAAATAGTACTAAATTTAGTACTTTTCGCATACTTATAGTTCGAATCTCCAAAAAACCCTTTGCTATATCTATTCTACACGCTATCAGTGAGTGACCCGCATTTAAAATTTAAGAGTTTTAACTCTACCGGTACGAATTTCCTAAACCCCAGCCTTATCTGTCACCTTGGGACCAAGAATGACCCTCACCCAAAATTTCTAGATTCTGTCTTCAGCCGTGTCGTCTGGGCGTTGATAAATCGTTAAATCAGTCAGTCAATCACATTACTCTTAGGATAGATAGATTATTTAATGCTTATATACATATTTTTAATTTGTCTTCTATTTTTCATTCCAGGTTTTTATGAATTATATATGCTCGAATTTCCGTATGATGACAATCGAAAACGATATACAAATTATTTGAAAATATGGCAGGCCCGCCGATAACGAGCAATATGTATTTTGGAATTATCCTCGCCTCTCAATCATAAAATTCCACAAGGAAGGATTACAATAGAATATAGTCCAAATAAGTTGGCAAAGTTGTTAAGAAAATTATTTCTTAAAATTTATATATCATATATTTTTTAAATCTATGTATATATTTTTTACAAAGAATATTGAATAAAAAATAAAGAATATTGAATTTACTAAAAATACTATTTGTTTTTATTTACGGATACAACAAATATGGTAAGTATACATGCCCCTACACATGCGACATAATTTGTGTGATTACGTCACAATTTTTCATTCAGCTGGTTGTATGCATTTTTTGTGCAAATTTCACAAAAATACCAGGCGCCCAGAAGAAAATAGAAAGTAGCCCGCCAGAAAAAAATAAAAAATGTAAAATGTTGCATCTGGCAATGCCGTACAAAGAAATTACAAAATTTGTAGCATACTTTTAGGCGCTCGAATTTTTCCGCGGTTTGGTGTTGCCAGACCAAAATTTGTCGGGCAACTTGCTACTTCATTCTGGGCGCCTGGAATATTTGTGAAATGTGCGCAAAATTGCACAAAATTTTTGGGATTTGTTTTCAAATTCATTGGGAGTCATTATTGTGACATTGGGCGTTATTGTTACTAAGAAACTAATATTGTGAACCCCCACTAAAAGATTTTTTAGACGTCCATAAAAAGACACACATTTTTAGTACTTTTTTTAAATCTGTTTATTTGTTTTATTTCAATAAACGAAGAAGTTACATAAAGAAATAACTCAACTACATAGACTATTTACTTAAAAGTACTTAATATAATGGTGATGTAGAGGAACAAATTGATGAACGATGTCAGGCTCAGCTGGATATTTTCTTTCAGAAAGTGCTCAAACCTACCAGTCATACAGAACAGGTAGATAGACAATTTAACTAATTGGCAAACTGCGGGCTTTTGGCTCCGTAACACGTACCAGGTTTGATATTTGGAAAAAACATTTCGGGCTCATATCAGGATATAGATTTCCAAAAATTCTACATATCTGATTTGGTAGTCCTTAAAGAAAATGGCTGCTATAAAAATACACTAAGACTGCTTAATATTTATAGACATTAAAAAACGGTGATGGTTCCCATTTTCATCGATAATCTTACCTCGGTTCAATGTTTATTGAAATAGCCGCCTGAAACAAAAATATTAAAAAAAAATTCACAATTGTATTAAAAAATTAAAGAAATATTTTTTAGGAAGCTTTCAAAAGACTGATTTTGTTAAAAATATTTTTTCGGGAATTACATTTAGACTTTTGATAAAAATATATTTTTAATTAAATATTTGTTCGAGTAAGACATAAAGTCGTGGGTTTTTAAACATGTTTGTTTTGGGGACCAGATATGGGCGTGGATTCATTAAAAAATACCAGGGACCACAAATGCAAGTGGGTCTCAGGGCTGTCTTTCCTGACCTGTAAGATAACATAATGAAGTAATGGTCATTCGTAGGGAAACGGAAAATTTTATTTCAAAAACTTAGTTAGGTTCCAAATAATTTTTCAAATAAAACATTTCATATTTTTTATTTTTTATAATTTTGGGGACCCCCACCCCCATTCTCGGGGTCAAATTTTTTTTTTTTTGATTTAATTCGAATCTACACTAATTCAAGAATGTCCTTACAAAATTTCAAGTGAAAATCTCAAGAACTCTTGAAAATATAGCCGATTTATTGTGTCAGCATCAAGTGACGGCTAAAGGGCTTCTCAAACTTTAAACGCGTTTTTCTCTTTTGCGAATGGCGGGCACGATAACTCAAAAACTAATAACCCAATCGATTCCAAATTTTTACACGTTTCTCTGTGAGTGTATAGCTGTTGTATGAACTAGGATAAAGCCAATCGGTGAAGATCTTCCTTATTTTTTAACTTGGTTTTTGGTCAAAAATTCGCGATTTTCCAAAAATATTTTTTCAAAGGTCCGCCATTTTGTTAATTTTAAAGCGAAGTCAATAATCCTAGTTCATACGAGAGCCAGACATGTACTCTTTCTAACACCGTTGGAATCTTCGTATTCTGCTGTTCCAGCGAGGTGTTATCATGCCCGCCATTAAAAATAAGGACTTTTCTTTAATTACAAAAAACAACAACAAACCAATAACAAAAATTTTTTGTAAATTATTTTTCTTCTCTTCTCAAATATAGATGTGCAAAGTTACAAACCTTAACAAGCATTGGTATTGATTTACCAGTCCATTGAAAATCTTGAAAAATTAAGATCGAGAATGTGTGGGGTTAAATCACGAAATAACCAGACTTCCTGCCTTTCATATGGCACACATGTCTTTTACAATATCTGCGGTAGTTGAACAGTTATTACAAAAAAAAAACACCACGGCATTAAATTTTTCGTTTATGATTTCTTCAACTACTGTATCAATAGATGACGCTGCGGTCGCTAAATTACCAGGTCGTTAAGGAAATTTAAATCGGTATATATCTATATTAATAAAAGAGTAAGGAATATCCGCTTAAGTTGGTCGATTATGCAGCCATACCATTGAAGAAACGGGCTGTGAACCATTTTAACAGAGCACGCGTTTTTATAAAAAAAAATCAATGATTTGAAAAGGGTTGACATTCATCGTTAAATTATAGCCCGAACTGAAGATGTTGGGAAGTGAAACAATACACCAAATATATGTAAACTATTAAAAACAGTGTTTCCAGAAAGATAATAGCTAAAAGATCACCCTTTATAATTGTAAAAATATGCAATGGCAATGTGTAATAAAACTTTAGAATTTCCTCTAACCATATCTGGACACTTTATAAAAATCGGTTTAGTAGTTGCCGAGATATTTGTATTTCAATTTAACGATGGTCCGAAATACACCTTCTGCTCGATTCTGGTCGCCTATTACCTGAAAATTAAATGCCTCACAAAAATAGGTTTTTTAAAAAAGGCAAAAATTGTTTTCATAATGTCTGTTGTTGTATGAGAATTATAGCATACTTGTAGGGGCAAAGGGTAGTTCGAGGTGCAATTTCCTGTTGCTTGATATGTAGGTGTGATTGTATGTGATTTAGGCACATATGCAATGTAAAATATATTCACTTACACATACACACACTGTATCTGTATAAAGAAAAAATTTCAATTTTTGCAAGATCGATTTTTGTGGTGTTTTTCATTTTTTGTTAATAGGCGCCCAGCATCGAACATACTTACTGTTTCGAAGCATGGCAGAATTAAAATTCGAATAACTCCGTAAATACTTAACCGATTTTTATGAATTTTTCAGCAATGGTTAGAGGGAATTCTACAGTACAATGACATTATATATTTATTACACCTATAAAGGTGATTTTTTAGCTATTATCTTTTTGGCAACACTGTTTTTAACAGTTTACACACATCTCGTGTTTGGTTTTTCTGTCATACATCTTCAGTTCGGGCTACAATTTAACGATGAATCGCCATGCAAACGATCAACGCTTTCAAATCATTAAATATCATAACAAAAATTCGTGCATCGTTAAGAAAGTTCATTGCGCGTTTTTTTCAATTTTATGGCTGTACAATCGACCCATTGAAGCAACTATTTTTTACTCATTTTCATATAGATATATACCGATTTCAATTTCCTTTACGACCATGCAATTTGGCGAACGGAGCGACATATATTGATGACGTAACTGGAAATTTCATAAATGTAGAATTTAATGTCCTGATTTTTGTCCCATAACCTTGGAACTACTGGAGGTATTGTAATAAAATTGATGTCATATGAAAGTTAGGAAGTCTGACTATTTCGAGATCTATTCAAAATTTAAAAAAATGTGAAATGTTTTATTTGAACAATTATGTAGGAGGATAAATTTGTTTGTTATTGTCTTACAAAAGTTTTCAAAATACAATTTGCCGATTCCCTGTCAGAGATCAATATTTAGACATGGGCAGTGGGTAAATTGGGTAAATAGCCGGTAAATTGGGTGAATACCCATTTGTGTGTATTTATTTGGGCATTTACTATATTGAATCGGTAATACAACATCTTACACCCTATTTCTGAGTTTCTGTTATCAAATCGATTTAGAATGGATAGTTTTACGATACTTTAAACTCACTAACTGCCGAACCACTTGACATAGGCGGCCAAAAGTTTGCTTACATGTTTTTAATGTCAAAGCAAATATTAAAAAATGGGGTCCCCGGGTACAAGTTTTGAAATAGCCCCCATATAACCGTACCTTCCGATTTAAGGTATTTTTTGTCTATTAGACACATCTTACCACCAAATTGGCTGTAATTTAGCACAGAGAGTTCTCTTCGGGTACGAAATGTCCACTTTTACTGGCCCCCATACCCTTATTTTTAGTATTTCCCCACAAATCGGGTGCCGAACCACTTAACATAGGCGGCCAAAATTTTGCTTACATGTTTTTAATGTCAAAGCAAATATTGAAATAGAAAATGAGGTCCCTGGGTCCATTTTCCATGTCAATATTTGATTTGCCATTAAAAACATGTAAGCAAAATTTTACCATTTTACCAAAATAATTTACCGGGTATTTACCCACGTCTTTAAAGTATCGTAAAAATATCCATTCTAAATCGATTTGATAACAGAAACCAAGAAATAGTGTGGAAGATGTTGTATTACCGATTCAATATACAAATAAATAACCACAAATGGTTACTTACCCAATTTACCGGGCATTTACCCTTTGCGTATTTACCCACTGCCCATCTCTAAATATTGGAATCGTCAAATTGTATTTTGAAAACTTTAGTAAGGCAATAATATACAAATTTACCTTTCTACATAATCTTTCAAACAAAACATATCACATTTTTTAAATATTGAATATATCACGAAATAGTCAGACTCACACACCTTTCATATGACATCAATTTTATTACAATACCTCCAGTAGGTACAAAGTTTTGAGACAAAAACCTACAAACAAAAAAATAAAAAATACCCGCTTCAATAGATCGATTATACAGCCACAAAATTTAAAAAACGCGCAATGCTCTTTCTTAACAATGTACGTATTTTAGTTATGAAATATAAATAAATATACTATCATTGTGTAGTAAAACAGAATGCAGAATTCCCTCTAACCATTGCTGCAAAATTCATAAAAATTGGTTAAGTATTTCCGAAGTTATTCGAATTTCAATTTTACCATGCTCCGAAATATACTTTCTGTTTGATGCTGGGCGCCTATTACCAAAAAATGAAAAACACCACAAAAATCGATCTTGCAAAAATGGAAATTTTTTCTTCATACAGCTACAGTGTGTGTGTGTATGTAAATATATTTTACATTGGATTTGTGTATAAATCACATACAATCACACCTACATATCAAGCAACAACAAACTGCACCTCGAACTGCCCTTTGCCCCTACAAGTATGATATAATTTTCATACAACAGCAGACATTATGAAAACATGTTTTTTGCCTTTTTTAAAAGATCGATTTTTGTGTGGTCTGTTGATGTTAAATCGGTTCAGATTTAGATATAGTTCCCATATATATTTTCGTCCGATTTAAGGTAAATGGTGTACCAAAGCCCTTATATATCTTTCGATTTGCACGAAATTTGGTATAGGCTACTGAATTAGGTCTAGAATGATGTGTGCTTAGTTTTGATGAAATCGGTCCAGTTTTGGATATAGCTCCCATATATATTTTCGTCCGATTTAAGGTAAATGTTGTACCAAAGTCCCTATATATCTTTCGATTTGCACGAAATTTGACACGGCGTAATGAATGAGGTCTAAAATTATGTGTGTCAAGTTTCCTGAAAATCGGTTAAGATTTGGATATAGCTCCCATATATATTTTCGTCCGATTAAGGTAAATGGTGTACCAAAGTCCCTTTCTTCGATTTGCACGAAATTTGGCATGGGGTACTGAATAAAGGCTAGAATGATGTGTGTTAAATTTCGTTTGCCAAATTTTGTAGTAATCGGTTACGATTTATATATAGCTCCCATATATAGTTTCGTCAGATTTTAGTTAAATGGTACAAAAAAGACCCAACGTTAGGCCGATTGACACAAAATGTTGCACAACATACAGAAGTTATTATAGCCTGAAGTTGGTATAACCTAATCTGTGGCAAGTTTCGATGAAATTGGTTTAGATTTCGATATATATTTTATATATATTTTCGTCCGATTTTATGTAAATGGTGCACCAAAATACACATGTTTATCAGATATTAATCCAAATAATCAATGAGTGTCCGATTTATATTTGCTTTAAATTAATTTTCATAATTTTGTCCCATTGTTAGAAGTTACTCTATATCTGAACACGTGAAAAATTTAGTATAGGTTAATGGTCCTTCAAAAAAGCGACGTCTGTTAGGATACATCTGTTCAACATACCCAAAGTGGTGAAGGGTATCATATCGTCGACCCTGCCCGACTTTACTACTTTCCTTACTGTTTTTTTTTTATAAAAATGTGTGCTCTGTTAAAAAGGGTTCATAATGTTATGGCTGTATAATCGACCCACTTAAGCGGCTGTCGAGCGAATTGTAAATTTTTATTTCATATTCACAAAATTAGCATTACTTAAAAGTTCAAAGATATTTCAAATATTGACTATAGTTTTGTTAAATGTAGATACTATCTTCGTTTAATGTACATGAAATGTAGCATAGCATATTGAATCTATAACGACGTATACTGTTGTTGATCGGCCATGTTTTTACAACCTCAACATCATGAGGGCCTTACACTTTGAACTAAACGTTACACAACCCAATATTATTACCATTCCTGTATAATGTTTAAGGGCCGACTTATCGGTCCACTCTTTCTAGTATCTCCCCAGAAAGGGTCAACATTTTGAAAACATTTAAATCTCATATGAAGCAAACGGAATATCCAATTTCATCGAAAATTTGCACATTGCAATATGTCAACCTTACACACATCAAGTTCTAATTTATTAGAACACATTTTACATTTATTTATCATACGGATTTTATATAAAACATACACATTTTACATTTATTTACCATAAATTTACTGGAAAAAAGATTTTATATAAAACATACTATACACATTATTATTATTATTATTATTATTGATCATTCATTTTTTTCACTTTCTTAGATTTAGCAATGTACGTCTTATAATAGAAATTACAAAACATCAATGTCATAAATAGATTTTGTATAAATAATACAGCTAGCCAACCAGTCGACATGCCGCATGTGTTATTGATGATGGCCAAACCGAATTTAATCGAAAAGTAAAAGAATTGTATAATTTGTATTTCGGTAATTCGAGGTTTCCATGCATCCAAGTTGAGATTTGTGTCCAACGATGACAGAAAATAGTAAGTGTACATTAACATGTGAACAAAGGAATTGACATGGCCGATTGCTGTGTAGGCAGTTCCTGTAAATGAAAGACAACACGAATATAATATTGATGTGTGTTGAATTATAGTTGTTATATTTTATATTACCAAAGAATTTTACATGATATATAAAACTGGCCCATATCATGGTGGCATGATGATAGACATGTAAAAATGAAATCTGTCGATTTTTCTTGCGCATAACGAAAAAGATCTGTAAAATATAAAAATAATTGAAATATATCTTTAAGTTTTTCCACAAAATACATTTGTACTCACTGTGTCCAGTACATCAAAAATTTTCGTCAGATAACATGTATGAGTTATATGCAATAGATTCATGGTTTCCGGTGATATATCATCGCTATCAATTTTCATGCAAAACCAATCGTATGCCGGATGAGGAAGAAAGTGACGCATAAACTGAAATAAATGAAAGGCATACACATTTTATTAATTCCTCTAGTGCATATAAAAATTATATTAATGTATATAAAACCAGCAAGGAAAGTAATAAAGTCAGACGGGGCCGACTATATGATACCCTTCACCACTATGGGTATATTAAATGAATGCATCCTAACATAAGGGCCATTGATATGAAATTGTATACTCTAATATATATGACCTTTATCTAAATATGAACCGACTTAGATCAATCCATAAACATGTCATTCGTTTGTTACAATGGGTCAAAATTATGTAAATTGATTTAAAGCAAATTTCAAAATTCTCCATTTTGTACGTTGTGCAAAATTTCATGTCAATATTACAAACATGAAGAGTTTGGTGCACCATTTACTTAAAATGGGATGAAAATAGATATGGAAGCTATATCCAAATATGATCCGATTTCAACGAAATTTGTCACAGGTTAGATTGTACTAATATCAGCAGGTTTTGTTCCCAATGGTCATATTTTGGGTCCTACTTAAAATCGGACCAACATATATATTAGTGCTATATCTAAATCAGAACCGCTTTTCAAAAAATTGTACACACATCATTCTAGACTCAATTCATTACGCTATGCCAAATTTCATGGAAATCGAAGGATATATAGGGACTTTGGTGAACCATTTACATTAAATCCGACGAAAATATATATGGGATCTATATCCAAACCTGAACCGATTTTCCAGAACTTTTACACACATCATTCTAGACTCAATCCAGTACGGTATGCCAAATTTCGTGCAAATCGAATGATTTTCAGGGACATTGGTGCACCATTTACCTAAAATACGGCGAAACTATATATGGGAGCTATATCTAAATCTGAACCGATTTTCAAGAAATTTTACACACATCAATCTATAATCCAGTACGGTATGCCAAATTTCGTGCAAATCGGAATATATATAGGCACTTTGGCTTACCATTTACCTAAAATCGGGCGAAACTATATATGGGTGCTATATCTAAATCTGAACCGATTTTCACGAAACTGAGCACACATCATTCTAGACGGTATGCCAAGTTTAGTGCAAATCGGTAGATATATAGGGACTTTGGCATACCATTTACCTAAAATCGGGCGAAACTATATATGGGAGCTATATCTAAATCTGTACCGATTTTCACGAAACTTAGCACAAGTCATTCAAGACTTAATTCGGTACGCTATGCCAAAATTCGTGCAAATCGAATGATTTTCAAGCTCTTTGGTGGACCATTTACCTAAAATCGGGCGAAACTATATATGGGAGCTATATCTAAATCTGAACCGATTTTCTTCAATTTCAATAGGGTTCGTCCTTGGGCTAAATTAGTGAACTGTGCCAAATTTCAAAATCTGATCATAAATGCGACCTGTACTTTTTTTGCCTGTTACAAACATATGCACAAAGACACACTGTACCACAGTGTGGTGAAGGGTATAACAAATAAGAGGGTGTCAGTTGGTGTTGCCGACGGATATATTTCCTCAGTCTATGGTTTGCGTAGGTCTACGTAATTGCACACATTTTTTATTATTTCTTATATAATCTATATGTGAAACGGAACAACTCAATTTTTATCCAAATTATGTATTTTATTTACAATAGTGTAAACACTTAGCTCATTTAACATTTAAATATTTGAACTTAACAGTTACTTATTAAAATCCTCTATAAATAGTACCATGAAATAACATCTCTGACTCTAATACTTTTTTATACAACCAATACTGGACAAGAATCTCGCTTCTCATAAATAATACCTAAGCTGAATCTAATTTCAATAAAATCACTCCGAATCCGACTCTCATTCGTTTAGCATACACTGAAAGTTTAAGATCTATAAGATGGACGCCGATCATAAGCTGGAAGTAATTTCTAAACGAGTGTAAAAGTATAAATTTAAATCTTTTTCTTTCGGATGAAGCCATATGTGACCCCTCACGAGCTGCTTTATTGACGCCCAACATGAAGCCTGCTTCATTGAAGAGTTTATCATCTGAGCCGAGGTACCAGAAGACGTTGCTTTATAGATCGGATAGTCCGTTCGAATGTTATTATAAATTACATTTTCACCAATAGAAGGTATGAATGTGTACCTTTCATATTATGGGGGCTTCAATTATGCACAATCGATTTTTGAAACTACTCATTCAATAGATGGCGATGACGGCAAGTGTTTGCCAGTGCTGCCAAAAATCGTCGGCATTTTAAATTCTTCATAACTTTTTCGTAATGATGCAGAAATACGACAAAAAATGTGGCCTGAAACTGAAGCGTCATCAGAGCCATCTACTGCGGGGCATGGCTTATATCAGATACAGCAGTAATGAAAGCCCTTCATTCGAAACGTATAACTTTTGAACTGATGATCGCATCTACGAGAGTGGTGTCATATAAAAGCGTAAATAATCTACTTTGCTATGACAACCAAAAATCTATAAGATGCATAATCGAGACTATCAATATCTATTAAAATTCAAAGGTTATAAAGAATGTAAATTGCCGTAGAGTTTCTTTTTACATAGCAACCCTGGCAAACACTTGTAGTCATCGACATCTATTGCTTGAGTATATCCAAAAATGGATCATGCAAAATTTAAGACTCACTTTTTTAAGGGTACGAAGAATGATTAAAATACGCTCTTTCGCACGAATACTCACGGGCGAGAATTCGAATGTTTTCAATTTATGCATGCACAAGCATTTGTATTCTCTCGCGAATGTTCGCATTGTACCAAAAATTCACGAACGATAAAATTTCGCTGCAATCGTCGATTCATTCTTTCGCGAGCATGTGTTCCTGAAGAACATTCTTTTGAAAAACTCAAAAAACAAATGTTCGCGAATTCTCGCGAGCACTGTTTGAAAACAAGAACAAACAAAAATATCATAAAAAGTAAACACACAAACAACGAAAGAATGTGTGTGTGTAGCAGAAAGTGTGTGGAATAACAAAACACATATCCAACACTATTGAGTTCACGACCGTTTGTTGTTATTGTTGTTGCCGTTTTGAGCATTCGCGAGAATTAGGGAATGTTTGTTTTCATTCGTGAGAGAATGTCAGAAAGAATTTCAACCACCAAACAAAACGAACGAACGTTGTTGTGTGCTCTCACTCGTTTGTTCGTGCTCGGGCGACCATTCTTTGGCGAATGTTCGTTTGGTAAAGAATTTATGGCCACAAATTCATTTTTAAAATGAGCACAAAACAACTCCCGATCATGTAGCTCATCTCGAAAGAGAAATTAATAAAACATTTACATGAATGATCTTCGCCCTAAAAAGGCATAAAAACAAAACTCAAAAATTCAGCTTGAGCCCGGCTGGGATTTGAACCCTGGTTCCATGGCATCTGTTGGTGTCCGGCGCCTTAGCGTTCAAAGCAACCTCCTTATCTTCCTAAGGATGCACAATATGCAGTTGCATACCATTGAAGAAAAATATTGTAGTCTGTATGGAAAAAAAAGTCCGTCACTACAAGAAAAATCTGCTCTGAAAAGGAATGTTCTGGTGTGATGCCAAATGTCCGAACCTTGACACGGTTGAATTTAATTCGTAGATGCAATTTCGCAACAATAGTCGACATAAATACAACTTATCAAGGCAAAATTCAAATAACAAAAATAAATAATTTTTTTTTTTTCAAAAAATAAATACGGCTTTATAGTGCGGTTAAACTATGAAAATTTTTCCAGCAATGGTAAAATTATTAAAAGTGTAGTTACGTCCGTTTGCATTTATGATGACGATATATACATAAAATATATATGAAAATTCCGATAATGGTAGAACATTCGAACACACACATTACCTAAGTACGATTGAAAGCAAAAGTGTAAACGCTAAACAAAATGAATAAATTAAATGAAATCTAAATAAAATTAATTAATATGAGATTCCTCTGCAGAAATTATTTATTCTTCATGGATTCTTTGATTCATTAGCCTTATGCTAATGAGGGAATGTGCCTCATTGAAATATTGGTTTTAAACCGCATGTTTCTTCGGTCCATATTCGTTTCAGAGAATTTGGAGTCGATTTACAAATGTCCGTCCGTCTGCCTAATCGAGATCACCCAAACTTTACACATCGTAGTATTTCTTCCAAGTTTAAATCAAGTTCGTAGATGGAGAATATCGGTCCATGAAATGATGTATGGACATTTTATAAAACCGTCGTCAGCGCTATCTTTAAATGCAAACTTTTAGGTGTATAAATCTTTTATGGCAAAAAAAAAAAAACAGGTTGCGCAAAAATTCGCTCGCGAATGATTCAATATACATTATTTTCGTTTTGTGCTTATTTTAAATTCTTTACCAAACGAACATTCGCCAAAGAATGGTCGCACACACATAACAAACGAGTGAGAGCACACAACAACGTTCGTTCGTTTCGTTTGGTGGTTGAAATTCTTTCTGACATTCTCTCACGAATGAAAACAAACATTCCCGAATTCTCGCGAATGCTCAAAACGGCAACAACAATAACAACAAACGGTCGTGAACTCAATAGTGTTGGATATGTGTTTTGTTATTCCACACACTTTTTGCTACACACACACATTCTTTCGTTGTTTGTGTGTTTACTTTTTTATGATATTTTTGTTTGTTCTTGTTTTTAACAGTGCTCGCGAGAATTCGCGAACATTTATTTTCTGAGTTTTTTCAAAAGAATGTTCTTCAGGAACAAATGCTCGCGAAAGAATGAATCGACGATTGCAGCGAAATTTTATCGTTCGCGAATTTTTGGTACAATGCGAACATTCGCGAGAGAATACAAATGCTTGTGCATTCATTGTAACTTTATCATTCGAGATAAATTGAAAACATTCGAATTCTCGCCCGTGAGTATTCGTACGAAAGAGCGTATTTTAATCATTCTTCGTACCCTGAAAAAAAGTGAGTCTTAAATTTTGCATGATCCATTTTTGAAAAGGACTGTTCCTAGAATGAAGGCAAATGTCGAACTTTGACAAAT